TTCAGGGTCCGAGTACGTTTCTATTTCTTTGCGATTTTTCATTCTGTTTTGGAAATTATTGGTAGTTAATAGTTGATGACATAAGTTTTCACTTTCATTTTTACTTTTATGCAGCATTTCATATTTTGTGACATTATTTTTTGAGATATTGACTTGTTTTTTAACACTGTCAGAAATATCAGCATTATGTGAACATATTTTTTTAGTATGTATGTATAGTATGTATGCACTGATCACATTTCCATTTAGATTTTTTTTCAATTTTCATAGCATTAAATCTTATAATTGACATATTTATGCAATTTAGATCATATATTTCATTACAAATAAAACATTTTACGATCTCTTTAGAAGTGATCACTTTCTTGCAATGGGTGCAGATATTCATAATTGTCTTTATACGAGTAGAAGTCGTTGACAAATTTTTGTTCTTCTGTGATGACATTATAATGAAATGTTAATAAAATAAGTATTATCTAATTTCTTTTAGGTCTCTTCCTTTTCAAGTAAAAAAGTAAAAAACTTGCCTTATGATTATATACAGTAAATACTGAGATATACAACCGACATAAGTTCGCCATAGAAATTTTAAACCACATTTGGCCCTTTTCTAATTATTACTTGTTCACAAATATGAAAAAAATCTTCGATGAAAGAAATTTACAGATGACGAAGAAGTAAACAAACAAACTAAAGTAAGAAGTAAAGAGACAAACATTTCTTTCGTAATTTACACCTTATAAGTTATTCGAACGGTCTAAAAAGTGTATTAGGGTTAATGGAGAATATATCGAAAAGGAAAAATAATTTCGTGTTTAACTTCACCTCTTTCATTCCGCGAACATCATGACCTCCCCTCGTAGAACTCTTGTAATCTTGTTGATATCAAAAAAATACCAGCCATCCGCTTGCACGTGATAAAAATAATTATAATTTTTTCACGAGTTAATTATTTGAAAGTCCATAAAAATTATAGCGAGCATTTAGTAATGCCTGCTGAAATTGATATTGAATATTTAAACTAGTGCAGAATACATATTATAAATTGTCTAAGTGTAATATTAAGGTCATTTTTATAAGTGGACATGCAGAAATTGTACACAAGTTGTATTCATGAATTTTTCTGCGTGAAATTTTCCAATTATGTTATCATCGTTATCAGTTTAATGACCCAATTTGAACAGCCTTTTTACCACATATGATGGCATATCTAAACAGTATCATTTATAGTGAGAAACAAAACCGAAATAGTCAATTCGTCTTCCAAATTTACGTTACCTCCTTGTTAAAGATCATCAAGATTGGTTCAGCGGTTTTGTCGTAAAATAATAACAAGCATTAATTTTACAAGTAGTAGAGTCACGCTGCAGCTATATTATGGTTGCAAAATGCATGATCGACTCGACCTTTCAAAGAATACCAGCTTAAGATAGCAGCTTAATGTTGCTGTGTGTCCATAGACACAATTTATGACGCCGCTTCTTCCGTGCCCTCCGGAATTACTACCCACGGCCACTCTTCCGTCTTCTCAGATGCCAAATCAGGCTTTGACATGGAGACCAACTCGCGTGTCCCGCGAAAGCCCGAAGATAAAGGCTTCACACTCGTCCAGGGCAAAAAGCGCAAATGCGTAGCCCCAAAAAAGGCAGCCGAGCCTAACTCGACCCGCTCGTCCCCGACCACCACTCCGGCAAAAAGCCTGCCCCGTGATGCGGCCTAAAACCCCTAAGCCTGCGGCCAAGCTCACAGCGAATGGGTCCCCTGCTGAACGTAGGAAAAAGCTGCCGCCTCCCATCATCATCTAAGACAAATCAAAATGGAGCAACCTATCATACCAAATGATATCTTATATTTACGCGAACACTACACATATAAATAAAACTATCTTTACGGATTTTATCGCGTATGTTAACTTATTTTATATTTATATTCCCGACGTTTCGGGTGCTTTACAGCACCCGTGGTCACGGGGGACTGAGGTGTTTGACGTCCTGATGTCATAGTTAGCCAGGCTACCTTCAGTTTTTTGATATTAATTTTTGGTTCGATATACGCAGAATGAGCTAACAGTATCTTGAAGTCTAACAGTGGTATACTTGGGTAAGAATTTAATTTTATTAATTATGGGATCCCAAGCAGATGGCAGCACCCATCCATCTTCTCTATTGAAATTAGGATGTTTTTTAATTTCAATAGCCTCACGAATCATCCTTTGTAGGAATCAGTGTTCTTTTGCGAGGATTTGTGGTCTATCAAATTAATCTAATGTAATGGCGGGGACGATCTTGAACATGTTCACAAACTGCAGACTGTACGATAAGTCGGTAACCTTCCCGATAAGTCGGTGCTTCACGTCAGCTATATGTTCTTTAACGCGGGTTTTTATAGATCTTTTTGCCTGTCCTATGTACAAGAGACCACATTCACAATCCAGGTTGTACACTCCTGCATCTTTTAGAGGGATATGACACTTGACGAATGGTAAAAATTGACCAATCTTCTTCAGGGCTTAAAATATGTTTTAATGAAAGCTCGCTTCAAGATGTAGCCAACCTTGTCTGCGACTCCTCTAACGTAGGGTAGTACAGCGGGCACACGCTCGACTGTGGCTGGCTTCACTCGGTCACTGTGACGTAGGCGCGGGACCCGAAGCTTGTTGTCTTGCAGTACTTGCTCGACGAGCTGAAGCTCTGTGGCCAGATGTTTTCTGTCACAGATCCCTCGTAATCTCTGAAACTAAGACTTTCCCACGGTAGCTAAGTGTAAAGGATGATGGTGCGATTCACCATTTAAATATCGGTTGGTATGGGTATTTTTCCTGTACACAGTATGACCAATAGTGTTACCAGGATTTCGGATGACTAAAACATCTAGGAAAGCTAAAGTATTGTTTGCCTCTATCTCCATTGTGAATTGTATTTTAGCGTTTATGGAATTAATGTGGTTTAAAAATGCAGTTACTATGTCGGATGGTAAAATTGCAAAAGTATCGTCTACGCTCTCGCTTGTACAATCTTGGATTTACAGGAGCAGTAAGAAGGACTTTCTCCTCAAAGTCCTCCATGAATATGTCGGCGACTACGGGAGATACAGGTGAGCCCATTGCCAATCCTTCTACTTGCATGTAGAACTCTTCTGTCCACAATAAATAGCCAGATGTGAGGCAGTGTTTGAGTGATACTGCATATTCTGTGGGCATGTTGTTATCTTCTAGCTTTCTAGTAAGAATTGAGATGCAGTCTTCAATAGGTAGGCATGTGAATAGTGACTGAACATCAAAACTGATCATAGTTTCATTGTCAGCAAGATGTAGGTCTTTTATCTCACTAACAAAATGGTATGAACCCTATGTGTGTGCTCTGGTGTGTCCTCTTAGTGGTGACAGTATTTTCGCAAAGCTTTAAACTCGTCTTTAGTGTGATTTAGTTTCGGCGCTGAACTTTGACGTAACAAGAACGAAATGTCTTGACGTATGGCCACTAAATCCTCCTTACCGATATTATTCTCTGGTTTAAGAAATTTATTTCTCATAAAAATAAAACATTAATTTGTCTGAGAAATACAAGTTTGACTTAAAATAGATACGTATGTTTTCATGTGAAATTTAAAAATTTATTCTTAAACAGACAATTCTCAACAATACAAATAATTTTTTCGTACGCGATTTTTTGCGGTGTTATAGCAAAATTCAATTCATTATATTTCGATTAAGAACGAAGATTGGTCAATTTTTACCATCCGTCAAGTGTCATATCCCTCTACAAGATGCAGGAGTGTACAAGCTGGATTGTGAATGTGGTCTCTCGTACATAGGACAAACAAAAAGATCAATAAAAACCCGCGGTAAAGAACATATAGCTGACGTGAAGCACCGACCTATCGGGAAGTCTGCAGTTTTTGAACATGTTCAAGATCGTCCCCGCCATTACATTATATTTGATAGACCACAAGTCCTCGCAAAAGGACACCGATTGTTTAGCTATTTAAGTTGTCACTAGATGTTGTTGTACTAAAATATTAAATAACTGAATCACGATGTTGAGATTATTTGTAATAATATAAGGTGTAGCGATTTATTAATAAATTTACTCATTCTGTGTCTCCAACGTATTGGTTGTTTCAATTACGTACCTTTGAAATAAGAGTAAAGTTCGTGAGAAAACGAACATTAAGGTCCAACGAGCACGGATATTTAGAAAGTGGCAATTGTGAATTACTGCGCCTTCCGGAGTTTTTTTGAATCAAGCACAGAAAGCAGTGGCGGACCGTCACTGAAGTGCTTCCCAGTGAGGTGGGAGTGTATATCCTACTTCATTGGACGAGGGAAAGTTGGCGTAGTAACAACCAAGCTGCGCGAGAGGGCGGTTAAGTCAACCGACGAAAAAGGTGACAGTGACAGCAGCAAATGTCATCTGTCAGTCAGCATTATTGGTCCGGTTGAAGATTTGAAGAGTGAAGTTGGAGCAATACATAATTGGAGATAATACATCACAAGGTGGTTTGGTGTGTATAAGTGATGTGAAGCAAAACCGTGAGTACTCTATATTGTTTATGTTGCAGAATAGTGTGGACAGTAATAAAGTGTTGCCTGTTAGTTAGTTTAGTAGATTTAAACTTGTTAAAAATTTAATGTTCAATTGATAGAGACTTAGAATAATTCTGAAAAAAGTGATTATACGGGGAACCTATGCCAGATTTTGCCTAAATGTGTTATTTCTCAAACACTTGTAAAAATTTTATGTGTTGTTTGTAACTTGTAAAATTTTCTGTTATATTAATTCGGACAGAATAACTTATAAGATAGGTAAACATATACGATTTGTTGTACATGCCAATTCACTTGTAAATTTGTTTTGAACTGCCTAAGATTTCAATTTGTAAGCAGAATAATTTCTTTATATACCTAGTAGTTCGCTAGTGTATAATAATTGGAATTTATATTTGTGTTCTCTTGAACTTTAATAGTTTTGCTTCTAAGTATCAGTCGTTTATAATTTAAAATGGAAAATTTTATTAAAATTCAAATAGACATTCTGAGTAGAATAAAAAAAACTTTAATTAATTACAATAAGTCTCCGAAAGAAAGAATTAATGCAACATATATTGAAATTCGTATACAAAATTTAGATGCACAATGGACGCAGTTTCTTGAAACACATGCTCGTCTTATTGATAAATGTGGGGAAAAGGAATTGTTTGATAGTAATTACTTTAAAAATAATATTTATGATGAAACAGAAAATGCATATATAGAAACTAAAACTGTGTTAAGAGATGAGCTTGCTAAGTTACAATCTGTTCATATAACTGAAAAACCTAACTTTGAAAAGGGTGTAGAATGTACAAATGTTAAACTTCCAAAAATTTCTATTCCGACTTTCAGCGGAAAGTATGCCGAGTGGACAACGTTTAGGGATTTATTTATAACACTTATACATAAAAATGCATCCATTGAGAATATTCAAAAGATGCATTATCTTAAGGCACATTTAATAGGTGAGGTAGAACAACTTTTGAGACATATTCCTGTAACAGCTGCTAATTATTTAGAGTCCTGGAATTTATTAAATAAGCTATATGATAATAAAAAATATCTTACAAATTGCTTATTAAAGAGATTTATGAGTCAACCTAATGTTTCTGTATCTTCACGCTCCATAAAGGAACTGCTCGATACTACTGTAGAGTGCTTAAACGGTTTAAAAAACATAGGCGTTGTTGTAGAGTCTTGGGATGTTATTGTAATCTATATTGTTAGTGCAAAATTAGATAATGAAACACGTAAGTTATGGGAATCTACCATAAGTGCGTCCGATGATCTACCCAAATTCGATGAATTTTCAAAGTTTTTGGAAAATCGGTTTAGATCGTTAGAGTTTTTGGATACAAAGGTAAGAACAAAGCCTGTTTCTAAACAGAGTGTTCTACACGCCCTTAAAACTAACACATCTAGTATCTCTTTAAATAATTGCCAATACTGCCAAGGATCTCATAAAATTGCACATTGCAAACAATTCGCTCGACAGGATTATGACAGTCGACAAAGCTTTGTTCAAAACAACAATTTATGCTTCAACTGTCTGGGAAATAACCACTCGGTTTATTTTTGTCGGCAAAACTCCAAGTGCCATGTTTGTAAACGAAAACACCACTCATTATTACATCCAAATCGGAAACCAAGTAAAGTAACAATCGGAAATGCAGAATCTGGTGTCGTTAATACGGTAACAGAAACTGTTCAACCAAATGAGTCAACTAGTATAACCTCATGTTTTTCAAATATACAGAGTCATGTTCTTTTGGCTACAGCCTTTGTAAAGGTTTTGTCAAAAATTGAAGTTGGTATTACATTTAGATATCTTTTAGATCAGGGATCCCAAGCGTCTTTTATTACAGAGAATGCAGTTCAAACGCTTGGACTAAAAAAGATTCCGACGAAGGTTGTGATATCAGGAGTAGGAGGACAAGAGGGCTTAGTATCCAAACACATAGTAGTTGCTAATCTGCAGTCAATCCATGATCCCCATTTTTTGATAAAAGTGAAACTTCACGTTTTAGACAAATTGACAGCATTCATGCCTTCAAAGAAGTTTGCTGTTCAATTATGGTCGAAGCTATCTGAATTGCGATTAGCTGATCCTAAATTTTATATACCTAATAAGGTAGATCTATTACTAGGAGCAGAAGTATACGGACAAATACTAGAAGACGGTCTAATAAAAGGTCCTCCAGGATCACCAGTGGCTCAAAACACTAAATTCGGATGGATTCTTTCAGGACAAATTCACTCAAGCTCTCACACTGGATTGGAGTGTAACTCTAATAATAGGATTGTCAGTATGCATTCCTATGTAGATGAAAATGAGGTTTTAAGAAGATTTTGGGAGATTGAGTCTGACGATTTCTCCTACAAGAAGAGTAAAATATTAACTCCAGAGCAACAAAAGTGTGAAGAGATATTTTCTCATACAACCTCTAGGGATGACTCTGGACGTTATGTGGTTAATTTACCTTTTAGAGACGAAGATCCTCGATGCAAGTACGGAAATTCGAGAAAGATAGCTACTAGGAGATTACAGTTGTTAGAAAAAAGGTTGGAGAAGAATACCGAGTTAAAGATACAATATTCTGCAGTGTTGCAGGAATATCTTGATCTAGGCCACATGGAGTTAGTACCTGAAAAAGAAAAAGAGGATGTTCATGTAGTTTATCTACCTCATCACGCTGTGGTGAAAGAAGATAGAACTACTAGTAAAATACGCATTGTTTTCGATGCATCCTGCAAAGGGAGTAATGGTGTATCACTAAATAACGATCTTTTAGTAGGGCCCGTATTACAACCTGATTTGCGGCATATAGTGTTGCGTTGGCGACAACATCCGATAATTTTAGTTGCTGATCTGGTTAAAATGTACCGTCAGATAAAGGTGACAAAGGAACATTGCAACTTTCAACGTATTGTCTGACGAGATCAATCTGGAAACATGCAATATTATAGATTATTGAGGGTTACATTTGGCACTAATTCTGCTCCCTACCTAGCTGTAAAGGTATTACAACAGTTATCTGTTGATGAGGGAAAGAATTTTAAATCAATCGGGGATAGAGTTACCCAGGATTTTTATATGGACGATCTCATGACAGGTTGTCAGTCGGTCGAAGAAGGAATAGTAGTATATAAAGAGATGAAAGACTTGATGAGAATGGGAGGCTTTCAGCTTCAAAAATGGGGAAGCAACAGTCAAGAACTGTTGGAAAAGATAGGAGAAGATAAAGGGAACAAAAATCAGGAAAAAAAGGTTGACATAGGAGTGGAAAAGGGAGTAAAGGAAGTGAGAAAGGCTCTTGGTCTAAATTGGAATAGCGAATTAGATAATTTTGAGTATTTGGTTAAACTTCCTGCTGTGAGCACCCCTTTGACCAAGAGGAAAGTAGTGGCAGATATTGCTCGCTTATTTGATCCCCTTGGCTGGATATCGCCTGTAATAATTAGTGCTAAAGTTATTATTCAGAAACTTTGGATGTCGGGCATCGAATGGGACCAGAAACTGCCAGATAAACTATTACAAGAATGGATAGCATATCGTGGCAGCTTAATTGATCTTTCTGGTTTCACTATTCCACGATGGATTTACACAAGAGACAACAATGAAAGGGTTGAACTTCATGGCTTCAGCGACGCCTCCTGTCATGCTTATACAGCGGTGGTCTATTTAAGAGTTATTAACAAAACTGGAGAAATATACACTAGCTTAATCACTTCTAAGACAAAGGTGGCACCTATTATTCAAAGATCAATTCCACGCCTTGAATTGTGTGGAGCAGAATTGTTAACACATTTAGTTGTAGATGTTGCGGAGATGTTAAAAATACCAAAACATAAGATACATGTCTGGACCGACTCGTCAGTGGTGCTTGCCTGGTTAAGCAGCCATCCAAGTCGATGGCAGATCTTCGTTGCAAACAGGACATCGGAGATTTTATCAATCTTAGATAGAAGCCAGTGGTCCCATGTACGGTCGAAAGATAATCCAGCGGACTGCGCTTCTCGTGGTTTAAAGCCGTCAGAGATTCTTAATCTCAAGTTATGGAAAGAAGGTTCATCTTGGTTATCTGATGTAGCTATCGAATACAGTCCACAATTTGACCATAACCAAGAAGTTCCGGAAGTAAAAATAGAAGAACGATCTAAGTTCGTTAACTTGCCATGTCACTTTATGGAATTAAACACTGCGAATGAAGGTTTATTTTTGCGGTTTTCATCTCTACATAGGCTTCTTAGAGTAATTTCTTATTGCAAAAGATTCATTCAAATTTTAAAAACGAAACCAAAACCGAAATTTTAGAAATGGCTAACCAGTAGGGAATTGCAATCTTCTTTACATGACTGCATTAAAATATGTCAAATGCAATATTTTGCAGTCGAATTTGAAAATTTGAAAAAAAGAGGTAGAGTGAGCGAGAAAGGCGGGCAAGCTTCTTTGTGTCCCTTTAAAGATGACCAAGGCATCCTGCGAGTTGGCGGGCGTTTACATAAGGCCGAATTAACTCAAGATATGAAACACCCGATTCTTGTACCTCGAGAGTCCCATTTAGCCCAATTAATTATAACAGAAGCTCATGCAAAAACAATGCATGGTGGCCCATTGCTCATGATAAATTACATTCGGACAAAATATTGGATCGTTAATATAAAGACATTAGTAAAAGCCTACATTCGAAACTGTATTACTTGTTTACGTCACTCAGTAAGATCTAATCAACCCTTTATGGGTAATCTGCCGAAAAGTAGAGTTACACCCAGTAAGCCATTTTTTCAGAGTGGAGTGGATTATGCTGGCCCCGTATTAATAAGGGTTTCAAAAGGGAGAGGTCATCATGCGTCCAAAGGCTATATCTGTCTATTTGTATGCATGGCAACAAGAGCTATTCACCTTGAGGCTGTTAGTGACTTATCCGCTGAAGGATTTTTAGCAACTTTTAAACGTTTTGTTGCAAGAAGAGGTCACTGTGCCGATTTATGGAGCGATAATGGCACAAACTTCGTGGGTGCCGCAAAAGAGCTCAAGAAATTATTGAATGTTGAGCGTTCTACTGTAGCCGTAGAAATTGCTGAGTGGCTAGCGACTAATGGCACTAACTGGCACAACATTCCTCCGTATGCTCCAAATTTCGGTGGATTGTGGGAGGCTGGTATAAAGTCCACCAAATTTCACCTCAAGCGAGTAATTGGTAATTCCACATTAACGTATGAGGAAATCACAACTGTACTGACTCAAATTGAAGCCTATTTCAATTCAAGACCGATATCGCAAATCAGTGACAGCATACAGGATCCTTACCCACTGACCCCCGGTCACTTTTTATTGGGTGAATCTTTATTACTGGTTCCCGATGCTAATTATGAGAATTCCAATGTAAGTAGCTTAAGGCGATGGCAATTCACACAAAGATTGGTCCAAAATTTTTGGCGACGTTGGTCGAATGAGTATCTTACTCAATTTTTGCAACGCCACAAATGGAGAAACAGTGTTTGTGAACCAAAAATAGGTGATGTAGTTTTAGTCAAAGAAGCCAATCTTCCACCTGCAAGATGGCTGCATGGTATAATAACTGAGAAACATTCAGGTACTGATGGTGTTACGCGAGTAGTTAGTTTGCGTTGTGGGAATAGTCAAATCAAAAGACCTGTCTCAAAATTGTGTTTACTGCCTGTGACTAAATAAGACTCTTCTTTTGCAAGTTTTTTTTGCACATTTTTTTATAAGGTTTGAATTGTTTAATTTATATTTTTATTTTAACAACCATGTAGCATTTATTCAAAACATATTAACATTGTGTTAAACATTTTGCTCGAATTTTTCTAATTTGTAAGACAGTTACTAAAAAGTGTTAATGTGAGGGTTACTATACCGTCATAATTATTGTTATGAACATTCTGTCCATAGCGGGCGGAATGTTTAGCTATTTAAGTTGTCACTAGATGTCGTTGTACTAAAATATTAAATAACTGAATCACGATGTTGAGATTATTTGTAATAATATAAGGTGCAGCGATTTATTAATAAATTTACTCATTCTGTGTTTCCAACGTATTGGTTGTTTCAATTACGTACCTTTGAAATAAGAGTAAAGTTCGTGAGAAAACGAACACCGATTCCTACCAAGGATATTTCGCGAGGCTATTGAAATTAAAAAAAAAAACATCCTAGTTTCAATAGAGAAGATGGATGGGTGCTGCCATCTGCTTGGGATTTTATAACTAATAAAATAAATCCAAATCCAAGTATACCACTGCTAGACTTTTTTTTTATAAATAAATAAAGAAAAAAAAAAGAAAAGACTTCAAGATACTGTAAGCTCATTCTGCGTAAATCGAACCAAAAATTAATATCAAAAAACTGAATGTAGCCGGGCTAACTATGACATCAGAACGTCAAACAACACAGTCCCCCGTGACCACGACTGAGGAATTCCTCAGGGTTACAAATCACCTGCGTGCCCAGCAAATAAGCTTCCACACATACGCCCTCCCAGAGGAGTATAGCCATCGTGCAGTCGTCCGCGGTGTCCTTAAAGAGCTCGAGACTGAGCATATATTAGAAGACCTCAAAGTTCAAAAACCTCCCGGTCCGGGAGGTGCATAGAATGCACCACCAGACCGACCGTAAACGTGACCCAGCGAATTATCGCGGGTGTTCCAAAGCGCCGCGAAAGAAACAACACGGAGTTAAAAGCCATCCCGGACACGCGGGTCAAGCCAGTGTGTTACGCTCTCAGCTGCGTGCCCCCAAGCTCGCACCGTTTTCGGTGCCCACTTCCAAGCCTCAAATCGCCACCTAGTCCACTCCAGTTACCGGGCGCAGAGCAAGGTGCTAGCGCTCCTACGCCTTCCGCGCTAAAACTCAACGCTTGAGTGAAACCGACAGTACTTTTCGCCTCACAGCAGTACCACCTCCCCAGGCCCTAAAACCGAAGCTCAACCCACAAGGCTCGTTCTCCTTCGCCGTTGACTTCTTGCTAGTCTGCGGCTTCATTAGTAACATTAACGTTGCTGAGTAATCCTCATTGGCCCGCAAACTACGCGGAGCCACCACACCTGACAAATACACTGGGGAAATTTTATTAGCGAATCATTGAATCGCCTTCATAAACACGTCTTCACCAACAAAATTCTTCTAGACGGGCAGTTTGGTTTTAGACCCGAACACTCTTGCACCGATCAATTAAATCGCCTCACAGAATACATTCTTAAAGGATTCAACCTCCCAAAAAAAAAAGTCGCATAACCACCATGACCGGTTCTCTCTTCAACAATATCGCAAAAGCGTTTGAGAAAGGCTGGCACGACGGCTTGCTTTACAAGCTGTATTAACTCAACGTGTTAGATAGGCTCACCGCCATCATAAGAGCCTTTCTTGCTAATCGCCACTTTTACTATCGAATAGAGGGTACTCGCTCTACAAAGCGTCCCATCAAGGCTGGAGCCCCACAAGGGTCCGTCCTCTCCCCACTACTCTTCATACGGCTCACGAGGGACATCCTGGAGGACCTAGCAGTTAATACTGCTCTTTTCGCCGATGCCATGGCACTTTTTGTCGCCAATCACAATAAAAATAATCCTAACCGAGAAGCTCAAAATAGCCGACAATCGTTTAGGCGATTGGTTCCGCTTATGGAGAATCGAAGTAAATCCTAAGAAAAGTGTAGAAATACACAGTATACTATGACATTGGGACGTCATACACCTCAGTCCTCCCGTGACCATGGGTGCTGGAAAGTGCTCGAAACGTCGGGAATATAAAATAAGTTAATATACGCGACAAAATCCGTAAAATTGGTTTTATTTAAATGTGTAGCAATACACTTTCAAAGGGTCTTCAATTGCAATCGTCTTATATGAAACTCCAATAAATCATTAGGCACGATCACCCTGAATGGCTGTAAGATCCCCTGACAACCAACAGCTAAATATCTAAAAGTCGCATTCGACGAAGGTATAACGTTCGCGAAACACAATCGCAATGTTCGCAATCGAGCCAAAATCGTCACTTGTCGCCTCCACTCGTTTTTTAACAGAATAGAAGAGCATATTGTCCTTAAGACACAAGCTCCATCTATACAAAGCATGCGTAATCACTTTATTACGTGATGATCCGGGTTTCGCTACAGTCTGTGGAGCTTGACTACCCTTTGACCATGACTTGTCTACCATGCTGCAGCTATATACCTGGCATAGTTGTAGCTTGAATGGATTGGCTCGACCGAGGAAGGACCACGCTTTCACAGAATACCAGCGTTAAACAGCAGCTTAACTCACGAGGTGACCGACATGTGGTGTGGCTTGCCCATATTTATGTAGTTATATGGTTGATTATGTGATATATAAGAGTAATAGGGCCTGGGAAAGACAACCGTGCTGTTTAGGTACGATATAACTCCTAAGACCTAGAGTGATTGTATTTTATAACATTTACAGCGAATAGCAGGCTTATGAACAACAAGCTCTATATTATTTAGGGTTGCTTCCATTGGCTTGACTGGACCGCGGAAGGGCCACGCTTTTATGAAATACTACCATAAGATAACAGCTTGTGACGCTGACAAGTGGAGATTTTACTTTAGGAACTGATAACGAGGCATTTTAACTTATTTCTTAAGGGTAATAATGCACATGCATCCACTAGGGAAGGTTGACTCAATTTAAAAAAACACCATATCAATAGTATACCACACTCGATAACAACACAGAACTTACTTATTATAAGAAATTGAATCTTTTCTCACAAGCTCACAAAAGTCTACAACTAGATATTAGCAGATGAATCACCCGCAGCGCCAAACATCTCGCACCTTTGATGCTGCTCCCCGTCACCAGTCGGATTATTTCATGCCAGCGTAAAGTGGGACCTTAGGCTTTGCCGCCATATAAAACCAAAAATATGAGGAAGACAGAGACAAATATACTATGACGTATACTATAACTAATAAATTATGAAAAAAATTACGAAACAAGCCTTGTCTATAATTAGGAAAACTTCGAAAAATCAACTTAAAAGAAACTAACTACACTACCCAATACTAATATCGACTAAAATATTTACTATAATATGAACTGTCAAAATGGCGTCGATAAAGCCGCACTCTTTTGACCTTTTATTCTTTGAATGACTGATTAAGAGCTATCGTATCATAAAGGCATCTATGCAAATAATGCTGTAGTTTCTTAGTTATAAAAAAGTGACCATATTAACCGGATGACCGTATTACCCTCATCATCATCATCATCATTACAGCCCTTCACAAGTCCACTGCTGAACATAGGCCTCCCCCAAAGAATGCCACAAAGCACGGTCCTGAGCCACTTGCATTCATCGACTTCCTGCATATCTTACCAGGTCGTCACTCCATCTAGTGGGGGGACGCCCTACACTTCGTCTGCCGGTACGAGGCTGCCACTCGAGAACCTTTCTTCCCCATCGGTTGTCGGTTCTTCGAGCTATATGGCCGGCCCATTGCCACTTCAGCTTACTAATCCGTTGGGCTATGTCGGTCACTCTGGTTCTACTGCGGATATCCTCATTTCTGAGTTTATCACGCAGAGAAACTCCGAGCACAGCCCTCTCCATAGCTCGCTGAGCGACCTTGAGCTTCCTCATCAGGCCAGCAGTGAAGGACCACGTCTCAGTTCCATATGTCATCACTGGCAACACGCACTGGGTGCACAGTTTCGTTTTCAAGTTTTGAGGTATACCTGAAGAGAAGATGTGCCGTAATTTCCCGAATGCTGCCCAACCGAGTTGAATCCGTCGATTGACCTCTCGGTCGAAGTTGGACTTACCTAGTCGGACTATTTGTCCCGGGTAAACATACTCGACAACAATTTCGAGCTTAGTGTTCCCAACAGCTAACGGCATAGGTGTTACATGGACATTAAACATGATCTTTGTTTTGTCCATGTTCATCTTAAGACCTATCCGTTGGGAAACACTATTGAGGTCATTGAGCATAGTGCTTAGGTACTCCAGCGATTCTGCCATAAGGACTATATCGTCGGCAAATCGAAGGTGAGTGATGTACTCGCCAATGATGTTGATACCGTATCCTTTCCAGTCCAGAAGCTTGAAAACATCTTCCAATGCAGCGGTAAAGAGTTTCGGAGATATGACGTCACCCTGTCTTACACCTCTCTGCAATTGGATAGGTTTCGTACTCTGGTTCTGTACTCGGATAGCCATCGTAGCCCTACTGTACAAGCATTTCAACACTTCGATATACCGACAGTCAACTTGGCATCGCTGAAGGGACTGCAGCACCGCCCAAATTTCGACGGAATCAAAGGCTTTCTCATAGTCCACATACGCCAGACATAGTGGCAAATTGTACTCCTCGGACTTCTGTACAATTTGCCGTAGGGTATGTATGTGGTCTATGGTGCTAAAGCCCTTTCGGAAACCGGCTTGTTCGGGAGGCTAGAAGTCGTCAAGTCTGCGCGCGAGACGATTCGTAATGACTCTCGAAAACAGCATGTAGACGCGGCTTAGAAGGGAAATCGGTCTGTAGTTCTTCAAGAGAACGTTGTCGCCTTTCTTGAAGAACAAGACCACCGCACTTCTGCTCCACGCCTCCGGTGTAATGCCACCATGGAGGACGGAATTAAAGAGCTTCTGACGAACTTCAAGTACCGGTTTTCCACCCGCTTTCAGAAGCTCCGCTGTAATTCCAT